TGATACTTGGTACAGATTAAGAGCAATTACCTGGAATTTGAGAAAGAGAGAAGGTTCTGATTAACCAATGACCAACCCGCAAAGTCTCTGCTATTGCAAAGCTTTTGGAAAAAGATCTCTGCATGTTAAAAGAAAAAGTCTTATTATGAAATACTATGTTCTTGAAAAACAAAATCCGAGATCAAAGGAGTACAAAGTGAAAAGTAAAATTCCTCTTCCTCGCTCACTCCTAATCTCAATCCGTCACTTCTTTTTTAAGTACTCCAGGGGCTTTCCATTGGACTTGGAACAGTAGCCGAACTTCTGAACCAAGGCCCTGCAGGACCTGGCCCGTCTCCTTGACCCTCCTTCGCTCACTTAAGCCCCAAACGTCTCTGGAGGGCTGACCACGCGTGAGGCACAGCTTAGGAGCCAGGCCACAGCCTGACTGCCACAGGGCACTTCCTCCATAATAAAAACACTAAAAATTATATTTTATGACTGCAGTGCTATGAAGTCTCACATCGTTTTTTATTGTAAAAGTTTATTTTTTTTCTCGTGACTTTTAAGGGAACGTTGTCGTGGGCCGCTAACGGGAACGGTGGCTCTAGGTCCTGGACCTGCTGTGCCTGATGGGCAAGGGAGTGCGGAGTCACTGCCCCCTCGCCCCTCTGCCCTCCGAGAATGCCCAGCTCACTCCACCTCAGCACTTCACCTTCACCGTGCCCTCTGCCAGCTGTTCGCTCAGACCTCGTCCTGTGCCTGTCGGATTAAGCATCACCTGTAAGAGCGGCGGCACTCCCACCTTCATCATCACAGCCCTTCTCCCTTTCAGAGTTCTTTTTTTTTCACCTTTCCCTGCTGCACACGCAGCTTTTAGTTATTTTTTTTTCTCTTGTCCTTTAGGTGAAAGTTAACAGCTCAAGTTAATTTCTCATACAAAAATTTATACACATATTGTTTTGTAACATTAGTTGCAGTCCCCACAAAGTGACAGCACACTTTCCTTTTCCACCCTGGGTTCCCTGTGTCCATTCAACTAGTTCCTGCCCCTTCCTGCCTTCTCATCCTGCCTCCGGACAGAAGCCGCCCATTTGGTCTCATGTATCTGTTTGAACTAAGAAGCACACTCCTCCTGTGTATTATTTTTTGTTTTAGAGTCCTGTCTAATGTTTGTCTGAAGAGTGGGCTTCAGGAATAGTTCTGGGCTAACAGAGCATTGTCTGGGGGCCATGGTTTTGGGGGTTCCTCCGGTGTCTGTCAGACCATTAAGTCTGGTCTTTTTCTGTGAATTTGAGTTCTGCACCCCTCTTTTCTCCCGCTCCGTCAGGGACTCTCTGTTGTGTTCCCTGTCAGGACGGTCACTGGTGGACACCATCGAGCTCTTCTGGTTTCAGGCCCGTGGAGTCTCTGTTTTGTGTGGCCATTTTGTCTCTTGGGCTAATATTTTCCATGTGTCTTTGGTGTTTTTCATTCTCCTTTGCCTTTCAGAGTCCTTATCATACACAGACATTACCCTGTTTATTTAACGCGGTAGCTGTTGACTGCCTTCTTCCAGGAGCAGTGGGGTCCGTGAGGGCGGTAACTTTTTTGTCTTGTTCGTTGTGTAGTTTTTTGTGCCCAGTGCACCCGAAACTACAACCAACAAACAAACAACAAAGCCTTGACGTCCAGTCAGTTCCTCCTCACGGCGACCCCATGTGTTACAGAATTGAAATGCTCCATAGCGTTTTCTCGACTGTGATCTTCATGGAAGCAGATTGCTAGTCCGTTTGGGCACCCAGGGACCTGACCCAAAATCCATTGCCGTTGAGTTGATTTCAACTCATAGAGACCCTGTAAGACTGCCCCATAGGGTTTCCAAGGCTGTAAAGTAGAGAGTCAGCGAAAAAGAGGAAGACCCTCAATGAGGTTTGACACAGTGGCTGCAACAATGGGCTCAAACATAGCAACGATTGTGAGGATGGCGCAGGACCGGGCTGCGTTTTGTTCTGTTGTACGTAGGGTGGCTATGAGTCGGAACCGACTTGACGGCACCTAACAAAAGCCACTTTTATGGAAGCAGACTGCCACGTCTTTCTCCCAAGGAGCAGCTGGTAGGTTCGAACCACCAACCTTTTGGTTAGCTGCTGAGCGCTTAACCACTGCACCACTAGGGCTCCTTAGGGACCTTATGGAGCCTGGCATTTAGTTAAGTTCTCATGAATGAAAGAACCCCAGCTTACAGACATAATAATAACAGTTCCTGCGTATCCTTTGAGACATTTTCTGTATATAGACGAGTTGCTCTCTGTCTACCTATCTGTCTATCTCTATTTTCTCTATATGTGTATCTGTATTTTTCAAAAATGCAAATAAGATCATACCCGTCTTTCGTGAAAGGAAAATCTTTTGTTATATAGTCTGGGTTGTTTTAGTTTTGTGTTCTTGCCTTTCCTTTCCCCTCTTCTGGTCATTTTGAATTTGTATCATCTGTTTTTAGCTCATCTAATGGAGATACAATGAGCTCTGGTGGCACAATGTTTAAGCACCCAGCTGCTAATCAAAAATATGGCAGTTCAAACCCACCCAATGGCTCCATGGGAGAAAGACCTGGTAATCCGCTTCCATAAAGATTACAAAACTCAAAACCAAATGCGTTGCCATCGAGTTGATTCCAACTCACAGCAACCCTACAGGACACAGTAGAACCGCCCCATAGGGTTTCCAAGGCTGTAATATTTACAGAAGCAGACTGCCACAGCTTTCTCTCATGGAGCAGCTGGAGGGTTCGAACCGCCAACCTTTCATTTAGCATGAGTGCTTACCATTGCACCACCAGGGCTCCTTCTGTAAAGATTACAGCCAAGAAAACTCTATGGGGCAGATCTTCTCCATCATATGGGGTCATTATGAGTCAGAATTGACTCAACAATACCCACAACAACAATAGAGATATATACGTATCCACTAGAGATACTTACATATATAATAATACACATATATTATGCACATATATATCACAGTAAAAATTATTTATTGACTATTTCCTCCCAGGACAGGCAGTATCCTGAGGACATATATATTACATATAATATATATACAAATCACATATAATACATTATACACACATATCACACATAATATATTATACACACATATCACATAACATACATATATATAATTATATATATTGTTTGTCATATATAATTACATACTACATGTCTTAGGCTGGGTTCTCTAGAGAAGCAAAACCAGTGAAGTGTCTTTATATATATATATATAGAGAGAGAGAGAGATGTATTTCAAGGAAATTTCTCACACAGTTGTAGAGGCTAGAAAGTCCCAAGTCCTTGGGTCAGGCTGCAGGTTTCTCCTGACTCACGTAGCTGCAAGGGCTGGTGAACCCAAGATCAGCAGGTCAGACGGCAGGCATCTGGCTCACAGGCTGCGGAGGCTGACAAATCCCAAGATCAGCAGGCACGCTGCTAGCTCAAGTCCCAAGAACCAAAGGTTGGATGAACAGGAGCCAGTTGCAGGATCCACAGAGAGCAAAAGCCCAAGACCCTTGCCAGAAAGTCCATCTATATTGGAAGTGGGCCACACCCCCAAGGAAACTCCCCTTTAATTCACTGGCTACTCAAAGCATATCCCATCATGGAGGTGATCACATTATATCAGATCTCATCATGGAGGTGATCACATCATTATACGACTGCCAAACTACATCATAACTGCCAAACCACTGAGAATCATGGCCCAGCGAAGTTAACACACAACCTTAGGGATCATACTGCGTGTAAAAATAATGTATTTACATATAAATTATATACCCAAATCTCTATTTCTTAAGTGGTCAATTTCAGATGGTACGTACTGTAGCTGCTCCCTGTTTTAGGCAGATTTGCTGGGTAGTGCAAATAGTTTGAGCTTGGCTACCAATTGAAAAATTGGTGATTTGAACTCACCCACTGGTGCTGCGGAAGAGAGGCCTTGTGATCTGCTTCCGAAAGGTCCCAGCCTTGAAAACCCTATGAAGCAGTTCTACTCTGCACACAGGGGTCACCATGAGTAAGAGTCAACTAGACAGGAAACTTACAACAAAGACAAAGAAGGGCCAGAAAGCTTGATGGGACTCAGGGACCAAAACAGTGCCCAGCACACAACCAAAAAAACCAAACCAGTTCCCGTGGATTTGACTCACTGATGGCGACCCCATGTGTGCCAGGGTAGAACTGTTCTCCATAGGGTTTTCAATGGCTGATTTTTCAGAAGCAGATTGCTAAGACTTTTTCCCGAGGCACCTCATGGTGGATTCGAACCTCCAACCTTTCATTTAGCAGTTACATAATAAAAACTAAACCCACTGCTGTCCAGTGGATTCCGACTCACAGTGATCCTATAGGACAGAGTAGAACTGCCCCATAGGGTTTCCAAGGCTATAATCTTTACAGAAGCAGATTGCCACATCTTTCTCCCGCCAAACGGCTCCTAGGTTCGAACTGCCAACCTCTCGGTTAGCAGCCAAGCGCTTTAACCACCACTGTGCCACAAGGGCTCGTTAGTCACGTAATCGGAGCTGCCAAACCATTTGTTGAAGGAATTGATGAATGGAAACTGCTTCGTGGATGATATAACACCTCGACTTATTTTCTCCTTGGTTGCCTGAATAAGATGCCGTAGCGAAATGGAAAGAGAACCTCGTTAGGAGGCTGGAGACCTGAGCTCTATGTCTAGGTCCTGTCCCAGGCATACTATTTGATCCGGCAAGTCCCTTCCTCTCTCAGCCTCAGTTTCCCCTCAGTAAAGGGGGGCGGGGCTGGACCTGACAGCGACATCTAAATACCTGGGCTTCCAGGTGGGAACGTCCTTCTCGCCTGGATGCGATCTGGGGTGCAGGGGTCATTGGCCTGGCCAGGACGAGGGACCCTCCCTGAAGGAGGCCCAAACGCCTCCGGTGGCGCAGGCCCTGGCTGAGTTGAGGATCGGGAGGGGGCTGCGAGCCTGAGGCTGGGGTCCGACTCGGAGCGGCCGCCGCTCACCTTCCCAATGTTTCCGCTGCTGTATGTGTCCAGTAGATTAATAAACACCCTCTGGATCCGGACAACTTTCTCCACCGAGGCGGGAACTTCTTCTTCAGCCATAATGGGAGCCGCGCAGGTTGCTAAGGTGAAAGCGTCCCTTCGGTTGCCAGGGAGATGGAGCCGGGGCTCTGGGCGGAAGGGGCCGGGCCGCTCCCTGGGGGCGGGGCTAGAGCGCTGGGCGGGGCGTTCCCGGGGCGGGGCTAGAGCTCTGGGAGAGGCGTTTCTGGGATGGGCCTAGGACACTGAACAAGGCGTTCCTAGGGGCGGGGCCTAAGGCATTGAAAGGGGCCATCCTGGGAGAGGGCCCTAGGCCGGGGGTCAGAGCCGCTTCCTGGGGCGGGGCTAAGGAGCTGAGCGGGGCATTTTCGGGGGCGGGGCCTAGGGGGCTGGGCGGGACGGTCTCTGGTGAGGGGGAAGGGCGCAGGGCGGGGCGTTGCCGGGGCGGGGCTAGGACTCTGGGCGGGACGTCCCCGGGGCGGGGCTGGGACTCTGGGCGGGACGTTCCCGGGGCGGGGCTGGGACTCTGGGCGGGACGATCCCGGGGCGGGGCTGGGACGCTGGGCGGGACGATCCCGGGGCGGGGCTAGGACGCTGGGCGGGGCGTTCCTGGGACCTGAGATGCCGCTGGTGTTGCCGCTGGTGTCCCCGCGGCGTGGTCCACGGCGCTGCCAGGCAGGTGTTCCCGCAGCCTCAACGTCACTCTGGTCCCTGCTACAAGCTGCGTGCCCTCGGGCAGAGCACGTCCTCGTCGGAGCCTCCTCGGGCACCTGCCCCAGGGGGCCATGTGATCTGTGTTCCCTTTCATCTCCTTATTCTTAAACTGTGTTGTGTGTTAGGTGCCCTGGAGTCGGCTTTGACTCATAGCGACTCTGCACGACAAACTAAACACTGCCCTGTCCTGCACTCGCCTCACAATCGTTGCTGTGTTTGAGTCCATTGTTGCAGCTACTGTGTCAATCCATCTCATTGAGGGTCTTCCTCTTTTTTGCTGACCCTCTACTTTACCAAGCATGATGTCCTTCTCCAGGGACGGGTCCCTCCTGATAACATGTCCAAAGTATGTGAGATGGTCTCACCATCTTCCTTCTAAGAAGCATTCTGGCTATACTTCTTCCAAGACAGACTTGTTCGTTCTTCTGGCAGTCCATGGTGTGTATATTCAATATTCTTCACCAACACCATAATTCAAAGGCAGCAACTCTTCTTCAGTCTTCCTTATTTATCGTCCAGCTTTTGCACGCATATGAGGCCACTGAAAATACCATGGCTTGGGGCAGGCACACCCTAGTCCTCAAAGTGACATGTTTGCTTTTTAGCACTTTAAAGAGGTCTTTTGCAGCAGGTTTGCCAATGCAATATGTCATTTCATTTCTTGACTGCTGCTTCCATGGGCATTGATTGTAGATCCAAGAAAAATCAAATCCTTAACAACTTCAGGCTTTTCTCCGTTTATCATGATGTTGCTTATTGGCTCAGTTGTGAAGATTTTTGTTTTATGTTGAGGTGTAATGCATACTGAAGGCTGTAGTCTTTGATCTTTATCAGTAAGTACTTCAAATTCTCTTTGCTTTCAGCATGCAAGGTTGTGTCATATCACAGGTTGTTAATGAGTCTTCCTCCAATCCTGATGCCGCGTTCTTCTTCGTATAGTCTAGCTTCTCAGATTATTTGCTTAGCATATAGATTGAATAAGTAAAGTGAAAGGATACAACCCTGCAACACACTTTTGCCAATTTTAAACCAAGCAGTATCCCCTTGTTAGAAACCCTGGTGGCATACTGGTTAAGAGCTACAGCTGCTAACCAAAAGGTCGGCAGTTCAAATCCACCAGGCGCTCCTTGGAAACCCTATGGGGCAGTTCTACTCTGTCCTGTAGGGTTGCTATGAGTTGGAACCGACTCAATGGCCATGGGTTTGGTTTTCTGTTTTACCCCCTTGTGGTTTTCAAACCACTCCTTCTTAATCTATGTGTAGGTTTTGCAAGAGCACAATTAAGTGTTCTGGAATTCCCATTCTTCGCAATTATATCCACAATTTGCTATGATCCACACATTTGAATGCATTTACATAGTCAGTAAAAACCTCTTTCTGGTGTTCTCTGCTTTTACCCAAGCTCCATCTGATGTCAGCAATGATATCCCTCATTCCAACTCCTCTTCTGAATGCAGCTTGAATTTCTGGCAGTTCCCTGTTGATGTACAGCTGCAGTCGATTTTGAAATATCTTCAGCAGAATTTTGCTTGCAAGTGATATTAACTACATTGTTTGATAATTTCTGCATTCCATTGGATCATCTTTCTTTGGAATGTGCACAAATATGGATCTCTTCCAGTGGATTGGCCAAGAGGCTGTCTTCCAAATTTCTTGGCACAGACAAGTGAGTGCTTCCTGCATTGCATCTGTTAAAGCATCTCAGTTGGTATTCTGTCAATTCCTGCAACCATGTTTTTTGCCAATGCCTTCAGTGTAGCTCGGACTTCTCCCTTCAGTACCATTGGTTTTTGATCATATGGTACCTCCTGAAATGGTTGAATATTGTTGTCAGATATCGGATAATATCCATATGCCTACAAGGTAGAGAGGGTCAGCAAAAAAGAGAAAGACCCTCAACGAGATGGAGTGACACAGTGGCTGCAACAATGGGCTTAAGGACAACAATGATTGTGATGATGGCACAGGACCGGGCAGTGTTTCGTTCTGTTGTACGTAGGTCGCTATGAGTCGGAACTGATTCGACAGCACCTGACAGCAACAACAAGGAAGACCAGTTAATATGACCATTATTCAAATTACACACCAACCACGAATGCCAAAGAGGAAGAAACTGAAGATTTTTCCAACTTCTTCAGTGTGAAATTGATTAAACATGCAGTCAGGATGCATTATAATTACTGGTGATTGGAATGTGGAAGTTGGAAACAAAGAAGGATCAGTAGTTTGAAAATATGGCCTTGGTGATAGAAACAATGCTGGAGATCACAGGATAGAATTCTTCAAGACCAACTGCTTAGTCATTGGAGATATCTTTTTTCAACAACACGAAAGACAACTATACACATGGACCTCACTGGATGGAATACACTGAAATCAAGTGGACTACATCTGTGGCAAGAGATGATGGAGAAGCTCAATATCTGAAACTGTGGATGACAAAAATATTGTTCTGATGAAAATGTAAAGCCACACAGCCTTGGCCTTGCCTGGAATGCTGGAGTTAATGTACAGCTCCTGTGGGATGGTCCCTGTATGTGGTGGCACAAAATGTTTGCCTTTGACTACTAACCTAAAAAAGGCTGGCAGCTGGAACCCTCCCAGGAGGGAGGAAAAAAGGCTTGGCGATCTGCTTCTGTAAAGATCACAGCCAAGAAAACCCTGTGGAGCAGTTCTACCCTGTAACACATGAGGTTGCCATGAGTTGGAATCCACTCATGCCAACAGGTTTGCCTTTTTTGTAATGGTGGCGTGGTCTGACCAGGATGACTTGACATGATTAAAAGCTGTTGCCATGGAATTTCAGGTCCAGGACACTGGGCCCACAGCACGTGGTCCCTACTCTGCAGCCAGCTGATGGTTGGTACACAGAGTTCAACTGGCTTAGGGGCTGTTTAGTAGCAGCTTCGGCCAGACTTCTGGGGTGGGCTGGCAGCGGGGACTGGGGGGACGTTTGTGTGGGAGATTCACTCATATTGACAAAGGGACGAAAATGAGACTTTTGACCTTCTTTCCAAATGTGATTATCCAGTTACTGACATAGATTGACAAACTCAGTGATGGCATTCAACTTGTGTCAGCAGGGGACCACAAAGTCTAGGGTGGATTCTGAATAAATCCTGCAGTTATCTTGGAATAGTAAGATTGTATCAACCTTTTCTGTGTGCTTTAACCATTATTTTGTTACATGTAAATATTTTACACATGCAAGAATATTTTGTAGCTTCTTTTTTAAATACTGGATGCCTCAAATAGCAGAGGTGCCCTAGGATCTCTAGGCAGCTTGGTGGCGCTGGACTGGGGGGTACTCAGGCTATCTGGCTTTGACTTCCAGCTCTGCAGCCATTTGTGGGGGACTGGGATAGGGTCGCCATGAGTTGGAATCAACTCGACAGCATCATGTCTGGTTTGGTTTGGTTTTTGGGACCAATCTTTGAACCTTCCTTAAGCTGTTAAACCCGTTGCCGCTGATTCTGACTACAGGACAGAGGAGAACTGCCCCATTGAGTTTCTAAGGCTGTAATCTTTAAGGAAGCAACTGCCTTCTTTCTCGGGTGGGTGGCTGGTGGGTTCGAACTGCTGACCTTTAAGTCAGTAGCTGAGGGTGTTAAATTAGCTATATAATAGGAGTGATAATACCAACCAAACAGGGCCCTTAGAATTACATAAGAGCTATGTGAAAGTATTTCCTGAAGTGATGCCCAAAGGTAAAATTATTTTCTGCAAGACTAAGGCACATTTCTATAAATGGGAGCCTTTTCATTCCGTTTTTTCCGGAACCACCCCACTTTCTTTTTCATACATACAAGTCTCATTAAACATTCTTTAGATTTTGACAAAATAATTAACATTTTAAAATTCTGCAAACTCAATTTGGGAATAGTCTGCATATAGTAAAAAAAATTTTTTTTAAATTATCAGCAAGGAAGTGCTGTCAGTTTAAGTGCAAAAACAAGCACGCGAGACCATCGCAGACGCCGGAGTGGACTTCGGTATTCGTTCAAATGACGTTAGTTCAGACATTCTAGAATTCATTTGATTCATTTTCAGATTTTTTGTTTGTCTCTGCATCCCTTATCGATATGTAGCTAAAAAAAAAACAAAAAACCCAAACACATTGCTGTCGAGTCGATTCCAATGCATAGCGACCCTGTAAGGCCAGAGTAGAACTGCCCCATAGAGTTTCCGAGGAGCGCCTGGTGGATTCAAACTGCCGACCTTTTGGTTAGCAGATGCAGCTCTTAACCACTACACCACTAGGGTTTCCGATATGCAGCTAGCAGGTAAATACTTTGAAAGTTATTCAACTGGCCACACTACCAGAAAATATTGTAACTCACCTTTGTCTGATTACTGTTTACACTACAGAGATCAGGTAAATGAGCTAGCTCCAAAATTAGAACGGGATGACCTCCAGAGAATTTTACACCCATACTGGTTGGCTAAGAAAGGAGATTCTATTAATTCTATTATAAACCTGTTGCCATTGAGTCGATTCTGACTCATAGTGACCCTATAGGAGAGTAGAACTGCCCCATAGGGTTCCAAGGAGCGGCTGGTGGATTCAAAGTACCGACCTTTTGGTTAGCAGCCGAGCTCTTAACCACCACGCCACCAGGGCTCCTTCTTCTATTACAGTATTATATATTACATTGCTACAATATGTCATATGCATCTTTTACAATGTTTCTCCTTTTTCACATACCACAAAGTTCCTGTGACAGATTTTACTATCCTGTACTGCATGCGGTAGCTCTTCAGTTAGAAGACCTGGGTTCTGACCCAAGTCTAGGCGCACTAGTGGGCGCTCAGCACGTGCCTTCCTGTGGCCCAATCTCGGAGACGTCGCTCATAAAATTAAGGGCTACAGGAAGAGTTCTGACGTCTGCGAGGCACCTATTGGAATCGCGATGTTTCCCTCCTCCGCTTCCCCTTAACACTTCCATAGCACATCGTACGTTTCTCAGTACTGGAGGGAGGAAAGTGCAGCTGCTGCGGGGCTGCGTGGGAGGCTCCGGGATGGATTCTGGTAGCGCAGACAAGCGGGGGAGTGCCGCTGTGGGAAATGAGCTGTGCACTCTTGATAATCCGAACGCCTCTTCAACGGCCCTGGGAGAGCAGGGCTTCTGCTTCTGCTAGAGAGGGGTCTTCAGCCTGCTGCCACCCCACATCTATCACATTCCACACCTAATTAGAACACACAAGCTAAGGCAGAAAAAGTGCGAACAAAATGAAAAATCACATACCTTCCCACCCAGTGATAACCACTATTAACGTTGCAGAATATTTTACTTCATTTGAAGATTAGTGTGTGGAGGTTTTACCTTTTTTTTTTTTTTTCCATGTAGTATAGCTATTCCCCCACCATCATTTTTTTCCACATTGGTTTTTAATGGTTGTACATCATGCCATTAAATGGATGTATCACAACATAACCACTCGAGAGCCTTTCCAGTTTTTCGCTAGAGACAACCAACATCCTTGTAGTTATCTTTTGCAGTCACCACCCCATGTTAGATGTGGAATTATCAGTTCAGAAGTTTTATGAGCAGCTTTGTAAAGGCGCTATAACCATGTTTTCCAGAAAGGTTTCACCAACATACCCTCCAAACCAAAGGAACACTGCATCCTTACCAGACCCTTGTCGTCGTCGTATGCCACCGAGTCGACTCCAACTCACAGCAACCCCGCAGGACAGAGCACAACTGGCCCACAGGGTTTCCAAGGCTGTAATCTTTATGGGAGCAGATCGCCACACCTTTCGGTTAGTAGCTAAGCACTTAACCATGCATCATCAGGGCTCCTAAAATTTTTACTTAGATACCAGAAATGACTAAATTATTAGGCGAAATGGCCTAATTATTTTTAATTTTCCTCCCTTTAATTACTGGTTGATCAACTTTCAAGTGGTTACCAGACATCTGTATTTTTCTCTAAGTTGTTTGATCATTACTTGCCTATTCTTCTCATTTTTAAAAATTGATTTGTGAGAGTTCTGTGGGCCCCCACCCCTCAATTTGGAAGCAAAATCGAGGTTTAATTCATCTGATTAAATTCTCTAAATGGCCTGCGTAGAAAGGAGGTGCTAATATCTGGACTGTCCATCTGTGTGGTTTTACTAACGTCCTCTCTCCTGTTCCTCTCTCCTAGTGATACAACACTTTCATTCACTTCAAATCAAAGCATAACAGCAGAATTCAAAAATGGAAACTGAAGCTCTTCGAATCAGTCATTTATCACAAAATGAAGTTTCCATTTTTAAACATACAATCACTTTTCGTCACACTTAACATGAGTAAACAAGTTTTATTCAAACTTTACAAATATTCTTTACATTAAGCCTGAGATTAAGCATGAGAAAGGTCAACCTGAAGTTAGACTTCATTCCTCAGACAGTTAAGCATCTGAAAATAAAGCTGAGAATGAACACGTGTTACCAAACAGGATGCAAGCATTCCAGTGACATCCGACAGTGAACAGTCCTGCATACTGAACTTGAACTTGCTCTGGTCTACAGGATCTTCAGGGCCTAAAAATACCTAGTTTTTAAAAACAACACGAAAGTCTGCAAGTAAATTTATGAAGGTGTGTCCAGATGCAGAATTTCAGCTCAACATTTCTACAGCTGCTGCTTCAGGTGACGACTCAAAAAGCAACCCCCTAATCATTATTGTTCAATGTGTACTTGAAGACATGTAGCAGCATGGTGCAGTTCACCAAGTTTACAAATGTTAGTGCCAGTAATAAAATATAAAATACAGAGTTTCCATTTTTCAAATATGAAGTCTCTGAGTGCTTCATTCACCCTTTGGTTTCAAACCTATGCAATGCGCTCATGTTACACTGCAGACTCAGCATGAGACAGAGCGCTGCACATCTGCTGGGGAAGGAGGAGCCCGTGGGAACGCCAAAGCCCCCCATCACAGGAGGAAACGATGAAGCAGAAGACTTTCTGAGACAAACTGTACATTATGTAAACAGCGTTCAGAGTGAGAATCAACACAGGCCAAAATACTCTTCTAGGAAACAGAATCTTCCTTCTTCTAAATTATATATGCTGAAGGTGCTTTTTGTTAAAGAATGGAGTCTGTTCCTGTCTTTGCTTATGTGCTTAGAGATCTTGGAAACAAGTAATTATTACATTCATTTGCTAACGGCTTGTCCTCTGCTTAGCTGGCTGACTACTGCAAATAAGGAATACAGAACTGTTTCAGTGCCTGCTTTTCATTTAACACTAGCTAAGTAATACATAATTAATTCACCTTTATCAACCCCTATTAGTAATATAAAGAGTTTAATTGTAGCGGTGAATTTCAATATTTGTGCGGGGGAAACTAGCTGATATGTTTCCAGTAAGGCCAGTAGCAAAATAATGACTACAAAGTCAGTCCAAGCTAGTAGTAAACCCCTGATTTAGCAAGCTGAATCAAAGTTTGAAGTTAGGCAATTATAATTTCAATATTTCTGTGCAAATCTCTAATTTCCTATGTAAAAGACAGTGCTGGCTGCATCAAAGCCCTGGGATAAAGAACGAAATGCTGGCTAGGGTTTGAAATGCAGGGATCCTCGATGAACAAATGTTGGTATCTTGGTGATGGTTTCACAGCAGTGGACTCAGAATTCCCTTAGTGAATCAGACATTAACAAAGAGAATCTTTAATCAATACTGTTCTGAGTCAAAAGCCTAAATGTGAAGCAAGAAGTGATAAAGACAAAAGCAAAGATGCATTTTCTACTATGATCATATGCAGGGATTTCATGCTTTACACCCACTTTCTGCACCAGCAGCAGCCTCCCTAGAAGAAAAGCGTGGTCAGGACTGCCCGTCCCTTTTCAAAGCTTCCAGTCTTTGAAGCAGCGCGTTCCCAAATGCCTCCCGGTAGGCAGGGCTGAGCGTGTCCAGCAAGGAGTAGACTGTTTCATGGTAGGGAGTCTGCAAGTGATCATTCACCTGGTCAAAAGCATAACCGACCACCTACAAGAGAAAGGCAGTGCATCAAATAACGAGGTTATCTGTTGGCACAGAGAGCAAAGGCCAAGCGTTTACCTGGGTCGTCTCCAATGACACTTTCTCAATCAACAGTCAGAATATGCGTATTTTTAATACGACCTTCTATTATTTAATTCAACATAACAATACCAGCAAAATGCTTTTAGAATTCTTCTCTCAACATGGAAAAGGTTTCATCTATCTACTCTTCATTACAAAAAAAGTAGAGAACCTCTAAAGCTACACAAAAGCAGTATTACACATTCATATTCTAAAACATGCTTCTATTGTTTTACCCTATTACATTTAACTCCACATATATGGAGCCTCTACTAATACTAAGCCATTGTGATAATAGTTAATATATCATTAGTTCACATCTTTTATCTCTCTTTTTTTTAATCTGGACTGTTTCTAGAAATTCTTTCTCTTTAATCCTGCTTTCTAGTCCGTCGCCTGCAAGGCCCCACTGCTTATGTGACAGGGGCAAACGCTCAACCGTGTGAGAGAAAAGGCAACGTTGGTCTGTTTTGTCGTTCTTTAAACACACCTCGAACTTTTCTCTCCAGCGAGATTATAAGCCATAGACTATGAGTTTCTTTGTTACACATCATCAACGTTTGCCAGTACAGCACAGGGCAGAACTAATCTGGCTTTTAATCACTTGACTAAAACTTGCAAACTCCCTATATAAACCCTCAACTTTTATGACATCTATTCAAATCAGAGAAGGTGCAGATTTCTGTAGAAATAGAAGCTGTGCAGTTTAATGAAAGCACAGAGGCAGACACCTAAGGAAGCGGAATCGCGCCTCAGATCCACGCTCTGTATGGCACTTTCCACTGTGTATCACAGACATGTCTGCCCTCCTCTTAGCCCTACGAGCCTGCCGTTTCCTGATGGGTAGGGATCATATCTTACTTGTGTGATTTCTGATTACAGAGACACAATAGTTGCTCAATAAACGTTAAATAAAACTCATAATAGTAAGATAACAGAGAGTTTTTATTTTATCATTATTTACAGTTGCTCTCAGGTGGTGCTTTCTACTTGTCTAAACTCCTGATTTGGGTTTAAAGGATCTGGAAGGTCGATCTGCCCAGAAGAGCCCACTCAGAATAAAGAGGTACTTGTCATAGACAGCCACTCTTAGAAATCTGGACGTGGGACATTCTGCTCTCATTTAACTCTCACCTATGAGCTAAAGAAGAGCAGAGACAAGTCCATTGTTTTAACAGAAAAAAAGATCCTCTCAACACAGTGAATTCACCCCGCAGGCGGAATGCATGATTTTGGTGGAAACATTTAGTTACAGATGGGAAAAACATTAGTTTTGGGAGTGATGATTTAAACAAAATAACACTCTGCAAGCCAATTTTTCTTTTTCTTCAAAATATTCAATTTTCCTATGTTGGCCAAAAGACTTTAAAATGAATGAAAATTCTTAAGAGAGCAGTTTTCTTTTTAAAAAAATCGTGGAAGCTACTGAGTGGACAGTTCTCATTCAACTCCCCTCCCCTCCCCCAACCACTCCTTTTAGTCAAGTGGTAAAGATGTAAACACTCTTTTTTCCTATAAAGCAGTGTGTTACCCTCAGGCCGGCTTCGGTGAGCTCCAGGCAGTATCTGCTGCCCTCCTTGGTCTCCACGTTGATGTAGGCCACCTCGTCTGCACAGCGCAGGCTTTTCGAGATGAACATGTTATTGACAGCAAAGAGAACATCGCTGACGACTGCTTCAGCTTCCAGCCGCATGTCTTTCGTATCAGTTCCTTCAAAACCATTGAGCTCTGAATCTTCTTGAAATGCTGACATACTGCTCAGCTCCATGGGATTACAGTCTGTCTCCATTCTGCAAAACACTGGTTTATGGAAAGACACTCAACATATTACTGTTTTCCTAAAAGGAGCTATGCCTTCCAACTGGCACTAGTACGATACGCCAACCAGCTAACAAAGTTTAGGAAAAATACTGGCTAAAACCACTTCCAGTAGTTTTTCACGGGAAACTTGGACATCTATGGATTTTCCAAAAAAAAGCATCTTTTCCCCACTTTCCCTTAGAGATTTAATTCCCTGATGGATAAGCTCTTAATTACAGTTTTCTGCTATTTTGAACAATGCCTCAGAAAAGAATCCTAGTCCGTATTTTTCTTTGCATGTATAATTACTTCTCTAGGACAGATACCTGGAAATGCAACCGTCATGTCAAAGGACTTGCTCATTTGAAGTTTCAATAAATACTGCGAGTTCATTCTTCAGAAAAAGGCTGCGATGATTTATATTCCACCAACAGAGTATGAGACATTTGACCGTGTGGATAACAAATTATGGATAACATTGAGAAGAATGGGAATTCCAGAACACTCTATTGTGCTCATGAGGAACCTGTACACTGATCAAGAGGCAGCTGTTCGGACAGAACAAGGGGACACCGCGTGGTTTAAAGTCAGGAAAGGTGTGTGTCAGGGTTGTATCCTTTCACCCTACTTATTCAGTCTGTATGCTGAGCAAATAATCTGAGAAGCTGGACTATATGAAGAAGAATGGGGCATCAGTATTGGAGGAAGACTCATTAACAGCCTGTGTTATGCAGTTGATACAACTTTGCTTGCTGAAAGTGAAGAGGACTTGAAGCACTTACTGATGAAGATCCAAGACCACAGCCTTCAGTATGGATTACACCTCAACATAAAGAAAACAAAAATCCTCACAATTGGACCAATAAGCAACATCATGATAAATGGAGAAAAAACTGAAGTTGTCAAGGATTTCATTTTACTTGGATTTACAATCAACACCCATGGAAACAGCAGTCAGGAAACCAAAAGACGCGTTGCACTGGGGAAATCTGCTGCAAAAGACCTCTTTAAAGTGTTAAAAAGCAAAGATGTCACTTTGAGAACTAAGGTGCGCCTGACCCACGGCATGGTGTTTTCAATCACCTCATATGCATGTGAAAGCTGGACAATGAATAAGGAAGACCAAAAAAGAATTGACACCTTTGTAATTATGGTGTTGGTGAAGAATATTGAATATACCATGGGTTGCCAGAAGAATGAATAAATCTGTCTTGGTAATACAGCCAAAATGCTCCTTAGAAGAAAGGCGAGACTTCATCTCACATACTTTGGACACGTTATTAGGAGGGAGCAGTCCCTGGAGAAGGACATCATGCTTGGTGAAGCAGTGAAAGACACGAAGACCTTCAACGTGATGGATTGACACAGTGGCTGCAACAATGGGCTCAAACATAGCACCGACTCTAAGGATGGCACAGGGCCGGGCAGTGTTTTGTTCCGTTGGACATACTGTTGCTACGAGTCGGAACAGACTCAACGGCACCTAACAACAACAACAACAACCAGGATATAAGACGCTGTACTTTCCTCACCTCACTCTTTAAACCCCTTTTTAGTTTCTGCCAATTCGAGAGGCAAAGAATGATCACTCACTGTTTTAATATATATTTCCTTGATTGAACAGCTTTTTGGATGTTCATAGCATATTTCTGGAGGCCTGGTGGCTCAGGGGTTTAAGTGATTGGCTGCTAACTGAAAGGTCCGTGATTAAACCCACAAGCTGCTACACAAGAGAAAGATGTGGCAGTCTGCTTCCGTAAAGATTACAGCCTTGAAAACCCTATGTGGCAGTTCTACTTTGTCCTACAGGGTCATTATGACTCGGAATCGACTTGACAGCAGTGCGTGTGGCATTATTTTTAGTTCCCAGACCACAGCACGTAAAAGCCAGCGCTGGAAACGAGGGTAAGTACTCTGAAATCAGCACTCAAGTCATTACCTAGCACAGCACATCACCCTCAACAGATCCGTCATTACCTAGCATAGCACATCACCTCTCCACAGATCCCGTCATTACCTAGCACAGCACATCACCCTCAACAGATCCCGTCATTACCTAGCACAGCACATCACCTCTCCACAGATCCTGTCATTACCTAGCACAGCACATCACCCTCAACAGATCCCGTCATTACCTAGCACGGCACATCACCCTCAACAGATCCCGTCATTGTTATTACCTAGCACAGCACATCACTTCTCCATAGATCCCGTCATTACCTAGCACAGCACATCACTTCTCCATAGATCCCGTCATTACCTAGCACAGCACATCACCTCTCCATAGATCTATTACAACTTCTGGGTTGGGAGTTTTGCTTCAGAAAGCCTTCTCTACTCAGGATTACATTTTTTAAAAATCCCTTAAGTTGTCTTCTAAATTCTCCTCCCTAAATTTAATTTTTAGATCCATCTGGAATTTATTTTGTGGAATGCTATTTTCCAAGCAGTCTACTTTTCCAACATTTGTTTACTAATAACTAACCTTTTAACCACTTATTTGAACTGGCTCCAATACTGCACTGTGAGTAATATTATTCCTAGATCTAACTTTCTATAAGATGACTACCAGGTTACTACATACTGAAAGCTGCTCTTCTGTGGCCGGGGCAAAAAGGGTTTTCTTTGCAGTAAGTATTGTTAAAACTCGGAATGTATGAACAAGATGGTTAATAACTGTGAAACTGCTCTGGAGCGCGCTCCTTCTACCTGGTCAGCTTTACGTGGAAAACGTTCACTCCTCTGACATGGATTCAGCACTCACTGTTCTGAACGCAGCACGACTCCTCCCTCATGCGTGTAACCAAC